GAGATAATATTTTGTTTTCTATAGTACAGTGAAAGTTAATGAAGACTGGTCTATCAAAATAAAAAAATAAAAAAATGGAGCGCCAAATCAGCATATTTATCATGTGACACTTAGGACTGGTGTCCTGGGGGGGACACTTAGGACCCCCCCCCCCCGTTTTTAATGACTTATAATTTTTTATACATACATGTCATTATTTCCTAAATAACAGGAAAAATTCCTTTGTGTTCCACGGAAGAAAGAAAATCATAGTTTGGGGTGGCATCATAGTGAGTAAAAATTTACAGAATTTGTATATTTGTATAAACTATTACTTTAAATGTGAATAAAATATCTTCAACAATATGGAGTTAGCTTGTGTGGATTGAAATATTGTAAATTAGGTGACTTTCAGTCAGTCAATTATTGACAAGATGAATAGTAAAGACCTTTCTTTTAATCCTAGATGGAATTACTTTAAGTTACATAGTTCTGTTCTTGTTATTGTAAAATATCTAATATATTGTTTGGTTCTTCAGTCCTTGTACCTGTACAAAATATAATTAAAATGTTTTAATTAAATTGCAATTATAGTTGCTCAACTTGAGAATGAAGAGAACTGTTTAAAATGCATGTAAGAATGCAGTCTTTGTTTTGTTGTAATTGATAGTACATGAGAATTCATGCCATACATGTGAAATCTATTAAAAGTTTGATGAGTCAAATGTTGTATAACACTCAGTTCATGACCCACCATGATCTCTGCAGCACAGCATTTCTGTTTTTGCAGGGGTCTAACAGGTCAGATGCATCATTCTGCATATACAGTGTCAGATTTCATTAGTGAATCTCATCTTTTCTAAACTATTTATATCTTTTCCACTAAATGATTAATGATCATGTTCACTACAAAGTTGAAGTTGAAAACTATCCAATACTTTGAAACTCAAGCACAAGGTTAAAATAATTAAAGGGGTCATATGATGTTGCTAAAAAGAACATTATTTTGTGTATTTGGTGTAATGAAATGTGTTTATGCAGTTTAAGTTTCAAAAAACACATTATTTTCCACATACTGTACATTATTGTTTCTCCTCTATGCCCCGCCTTTCTGAAACGTGTCGATTTTTACAAAAATGCAATCCTGAAAGTCTAACATTATTTTTAGATGTTTTCAAGGGAATGCTATTCACGCTCTGTTCTTTACCCCGTTCACACCCTGAACCTCTTCTCAGTAAATATCGGCAGGGTGCTGGAATCTCATTATCTCCAAACAGTCAGATCAGGGCTGCACGAGTCTGTATTGACTGAAATGGATCAGAGTGAAGTAATCTATCAGCATGGTGGACGTCCATTCCACTGCCTCCATCCATTTTCGAACTCCTGCCACAAACAACAAAATGTTTCTACACTACAACAAAAACAAAAGGCTGTTGCAGTGGCTAAGGCTACATTTTTCTGTTATACATTACTACAGATTTAAATATTTCGATTTTTGCAGTGATTTTTGAAAATTATTTCAATTGGCAGTAAGAATAAAACTGAATAAAGAAAAAAAAATATGATTGGCTCCATAGGCTAATAGCTAATCTATTACGCACATAAACCCTTCTTTTTAGGCAAGTTCCAGTAATGTATGTCATTAAATATGTTAAATAGGAATGAATTTGTATTTAATGTGATTACAACTTAAAAAAAAACATTATACTTTACTAATAAGGCTTTCACTGCCACAATTATTCAAACAGCGAATAAATGATAGCCTATACAGAAAGCGAACAAAGAACATATAACGTTAGGCCTAACTTTATACGAGAACATTATTTCAGTCTAGCATGAGTTTACACTCTCAAAAAAAAACTTTTGTTATAATAAATGAAGCTGTCTACTTAATGAAATTGATCTCTTACCATACGTACATCTGCACTTTGTTGTTTACGACTTTGTTTATGATGCTAGATTTCGCAAAAGTGCAGAATTTAGTCAGAGAGCGCGCGCACTGAACATAACTCCGGTGTTTCAGCGATGACTCATTTGGACACCTCTGATTGGCCACTGCGTTTATAAGCTCAACAGAATCATGCAGGGGCTTAAATCGCTGGGGGACGGGGGTCAAGAACCCCTTATCTGAGGGTTGTCCCCCCTAAAAATATCACTACAAACCACTCTGAGTATTGTTAATAGTATAACACATATATTCTTAAATAATTGTGCAAGTAGTAAAACAATAGAAAATCAAAAAAGCGTTTTAAGTTTAGAAACGTTTTGAGTCTTACCTCATAGTGGTTTGGTCCACTGCCTACCATCACCCACTACAACTAACACGGCGATAACCCTGTGCGAACTGATATTAGGCTAATATTGTAGACCTAACGTTACCGATGTGTTGGGTTTTGCTCAGTATTATGTTAAGTGGCAGATCGGTGTTCTGGGTTGAATATCTAAATACGAGATGTCCTCAGTCCCAGACGAAAACAAATACTGCCAACTCTCACGCATTTGGCGTGAGACACACGCTTTCAGGCTCGGTCTCACGCTCTCTGCCCATGTAAATCTCACTCCAAATTGGCAACCCTGCTTGCGATATGAAACAAAGTCTCAGCTTTCAAAAGTTGTAAGTTTTAATACTAAATTCAAACAATAAATACCGTTTTGGCGCACTTAATGTGGCGTAAATCGTAAAATGTAACGCTTCAGTTAAAGCCAGAGCCAGTGAAAAACAGTTGCGACAAGCTTTGATCTCACCGGCGTCGCCGCGCGGTCACGTGGTTCACGGAGCTCTCCAAACAAACCAGCGTTGACAATACATTTGAATTGGATAGACGACAGCTTCATTATACAGGTATTTGCAGCAATTTTTGGTAAACACTACAGCATATTATGCATTGATTATTACGTCGATGACATTTACAGTATCATTTTATTCTGGAGAGTGATGGAGAGGCAGCATCATTTGAATAAATATTTAGACATGATTAAACACTAGATTTTTAAATTAGAAATTAAAAAAGTTAATAACTGACATCCTTTTTTATCCTTTTTCATCCTTTGATACTTGCATAATTACACACAATGAATGCAAGCAAATACTGAATTTAAACCAAGTTTAAATTGGTGCTAAAAAGGCATTCAACTGCGTTCAATAAAATATTTTTATCCCCTTATATTTACAGTATATACACATTAATTGATATTGAATCGAGATCGAAACCCCTCCCTCTCCTACAACCCCGAAAAAAAAATCTCACTCCAAGCTGAACTTAAAAGTTGGCAACCCTGCTATGTGGAGGACGCAAAATAATTTAATTATTATAATATGACCGCGTGGTGAACCTATGAACCGAACTCATATTTAAACAAGGTTTCCATGCTATGTACACATGCTGTGTACACACATCTATCCTTATAAGTACAATTTTGTCTGTATTATTTGTGTCCCCTTCAAAAATTGCTCTTGAGAAATTTTATGTTTATTTGTATGTTTATTAAATTTTATGTAATTTACTGTTAGATGAAATTTACGCCCTTGGAATCATGTGATTGGTTACAATGAGCAAAGCTGTAAAAACGCTTAAAAAATATGATGCAACATGGCCATGTTCACACAGCAGCAGAATACAGTTGTCAGGCCTGTACGGTATTTGAGTCACTAATACGGATAAAGTTCTCACAAATTTCAGTTATTTACGGGATTGACAACAGCATTCTAGAAGTCACACTCGTAAATTTTCAGGACTCACAACTGTTTTCGGTAAAGTCCTGCGGTGTGAACGGAACTTTTCTGGGCTGCATTTCCCAAAAGCATCGTAATCCTAAATTGATCGTAGAACCAATTGTCACCAATGGAGCTACGATCAATTTAGGATTACAAAGCTTTTGGGAAACGCAGCCCTGGACAACTAGTTGTCTGGCATATCACACATTGCGAGAGCCGCTCCACCACTGTGTGAATAGGACATTTATATACTCAAACCTATAAGTAAAGCACTGACAGTGTGAACATAGCTTATATCAGAGCATTGTGCCTGCTAAATAGTCTTTCACACTGTGATAGCTTTGTCTCTTGTATAACTGTGCATTTACTTTTTTTCTCATATAAGTTAAACTCAAATCAATATTTAATGTAAATGTATTTACTTGGTGAACAGCCACATAAGTGGGATAATACAGTCCGCCACTCATTACTGCAAAATAAACCCTTCACAATGGTGTAAAACTGACAGGGTTTATTTTGGGATAATGACCATGTAGGTTTCAGCACATGTAGCCTATATGACTGTTTTAAGTTATAAGTATAATTTCCCCTAGTTGCAATACCCTACGACCTGTTCCTCAGTACACATTTTGGCCCTAATCAAGGCAATTAGATACAATGAAACACCGCAGAAAAAAGACCAATAGATGGTTTTCTGCCATTCGCTTGGTACCGTATGAAGTCATTATGTAATGCGACATCCCTGATGTGACTTCTGGCATTTGCAGTTCAAGCTTCTGCAAGGGAAAATCAAATCAATCTCCCATTGACTCTGTCAGCATGTGATGGAAAGCTAATTAAAGGCCCTGAGGGAAGGCTGGTCATTTTATGAAGCATAGAGTTGATAAATTCCACATGCATCGTTTTGTTCTAGGTGCAGGGTTAGATAAAAAGATCAGCTTTTGAAAACTCCATCTAACAGACAATGCAGTTAGCTATGAAACTGGGCTTGAATTGACTAGAATTATAGATTACACAAAAGATGAATGGTTGCTTACAAAAGTTTGAAACCCATTTTCTTGTTTGAGTCAACATGGTAGTACTGGGTTTGCTTAAAAACGGCTTGCTGGAGAGCAATATCATGACATTTTGTGTGGCAGAATATTGTATTGACTGCATGAGGGACATTTGGTTGGTTGGCATTACGGGCAACTTTTTATGCATGTGGGGGTGCTGTTTTCAGCAATTGCTTGACAAGATCTGCCATGGGGCATTGTCCCGTCAGTTTCTGATCAATTTCTACATCCTGTGAACTGTGAACTGCAACAACTGTGGGGAACAATCACTGTAGCCCAACATTATACAGAGAGACTGGCTGCGCTTTAATGTGTGAACTCCATGGCTGTAAAATGAAGGAATGATTTTCCTTATCAGGGAAAACATGTTTGTTTATATTCCAAGGAAACTAGACAGCAAATCCCACTGAAATGTAAGTTGATTTTTGTTTGCTTTTGTGGATAAAGCTTTGATTGGCTTAGTTATTTCATTTTGTTTGTGCTTACAAACTATAATTTGGGCAAAATTACATTGGAACTGTTTGTGCATGACTTTTTAAACTTGGAATTTGTCAAACATGCTTTTTTTGTTTGTCGAAAGCATGCAAAATGCATGATAACTAATGCATGAATGCAGAAAAAATAAGAATGAACCAACTTGAACAGTAGAATCAAGTTTGTTGTTCCATGTGCATGACTTTCTAGACTTGGAATTTTATGTCAAACACCTTTTTTTGTTTGTCGAATGCATGCAAATATTCTTATGTATATGACGGCTAATGCATGAATACAGAAATCTAAAGAATAAACCAACTTGAACGTTAGGCTAAACTCCTATTTTATTTTTTTTGTCTTAAACTAAGCACGGACATGTGGCGGTGAAGATGGGGGACTGGAACTTGTTGGGGAGCATTTTAGAGGAGGTTCATATTCACTCCACCATCGTGGGTAAAATCTGGCTGACCATCCTGTTCATATTCCGGATGCTGGTTCTCGGCGTGGCGGCCGAGGATGTTTGGGTGGACGAGCAAAGTGAGTTCGTCTGCAACACGGACCAGCCGGGATGCAAGAACGTTTGCTACGACCAAGCGTTCCCGATATCCCTCATTCGCTTTTGGGTACTGCAGATCATTTTCGTTTCCTCGCCTTCGCTGGTATACATGGGACATGCTCTGTACCGACTGAGGGCTTTAGAGAAAGAAAGGCACAGGAGGAAAATTCAGCTGAGAGCAGAGCTGGAAGAGACGGAAGGCCTCTTGGAGGAGCACAAGAAGTTGGAGAAGGAACTGAGGAAGCTAGAAGAGCAGAAGAATATTAGGAAGGCTCCTCTGAGGGGCTCCTTGCTGCGCACATATATAATTCATATCCTTACCAGATCAGTGGTGGAAGTGGCGTTCATTGTAGGGCAGTATATCTTATATGGGATTGGACTAGATCCTTTGTACAAGTGCGAGAGGGTGCCTTGCCCAAACAGCGTGGACTGTTACGTCTCCAGGCCGACAGAGAAGACCATCTTCATGGTTTTCATGATTGTCATCGGAGGAGTTTCGTTGTTCCTGAACCTCTTGGAAATATCCCACCTGGGGGTTAAAAAAATTAAACAGACTCTAAGCGGTCTCCAGCTCGTCGAGGACGACAGTCCTTGCAAAACCAAGCACTCGACCATTCAGCAACTGTGCGTAATGACGAATATGTCGCCCCACAAAAACCCGCAGTTGAAAACTTTTATTCCGCAGGGGCAAACGGACCCTCCGCTGTTCTTAACCAGTGCTTACATCGGCTCGAGCAACAACATGCTGCGGCACAACAGTTTCGCCGCGGCCACCCTCCCGGTGTCCTGCATAACCCAGCAGCCCCGGCAAATGCGCCAGCCTAGCCAGGGAATTATCCATGAACTGCACTCCCAAGGGTCCATGGAGTTACTAGTGGACCGGGAAAACTGCGACCAGCATCTAGAGAGCAGTAACGGCTCGGAGAGGGATGTTAGGCCTTTTAACTCGGGTCATCTGGGTCCTGAGGGTCATACAGAAATACCAGCCTGCCTTCGCAATGCTCTGCACAGGCCCAGCCGTGTGCCAGACCTGGGGGATGACACTGTGGAGTCCTCCGAGAGCGACTTCTGTCCGCCCAACAGGAAAGCCAGTTTCATGGTCCGTATGCCCTCAGACAGTATTTCCGGCAGTCCGTCATGTCCCTCCACAAGGAGTTCAGAGTCCGAGCTAGGCTCCCTCAACGACCTGCCCATGAACCCACCACCAGGGGGAGGACGACGGATGTCTATGGCAAGTAGATGCAAATGACACCCAGCTACTGAGCTGGTCATATAAAAGCTTCCCTATCCACAATTACTTTTGGGAATTTTATTGTGGATCAGAATTTTCTTTTCGAGATGAGATTCTGCCAGCTACATTCAAGAAATTGAATTTTATTGATTATAATAAATAATAATTGGGGGAAAAAAATCAATGCTCTTTAATAATATAGAAATAATCAATAATAATAATAATATATATATGTTTATATTTTCACATTATATATTTTGTTAATATTATTAGTAATAAATATGGATGGATGATGATAATTAATATTATTATATTTCATATGTGTGCCTAATTTGTATACTGATATGAAAAATGTCTTATTTACAGAGTGTATTCTTGGATATCTCTTCCATCATGAAAAAGTGAAAGTAAGAAGGACAGAAGGACAACAGGAATGTAACAGGCCGTTCATGAGCAGAAATGAATGGAGATATCAGTGACAAAGGGTTTCACTCTGATCTGCTCTGCTTGGAAAGCACTGGTCTAACGCAGCTTCATTGTGGTATAAGTAGTGCTGTTTTGTACGGTTCATTTTTTTTAAATTGTAAGCATCTTAATTTACCAGTAAAGCACGGTATACATTTTTTCCATGTCTAATTATGGAAGCCAAAAGACATCTGTGCATATTTATAAAAGCTTCAGACAGCTGGCAAAAAATAACATTTTTAAATCATTTAGCTTACATCCATAAAATGTGATGCAAGCTAATGGACTCTTACATCAAATTCTGAAGAAAATAAAAGTTTTCTTATTTCCAACAGTGTTTGTGTTTGAATTCAGGGTGAATACGGATCATGCAAATGTTATACTCCTCAGAGCAAATGATGCAAAACACATTCAATCTGCATAAAACATGCTTGGCAATTTATGTAATATCCTAGTAGACAAATTCAATGTGGACACATTCAAGAATGTAACAAATACAGATTATGAACATTGAGGTCACAACTTTTCAAGATTTGATTAACAAAAGCAAAACAATCATTTTCAAAGAATCCCACAAATACCTATAAACAGAATATGTACAATACATACAAAATCTACATAAAAGAAACGATTGTAAAACGTCTTTTAAAAAGGTTGTAAACCATTTCTGCTACAGACCTTGTCAGAGACGAGAGGTATATCGATTTTACAGGTAGATCTTTGAATGTCAAAACTCTCCCTACTGCATGTAAACTAATAACCAATATTCATATTTGCCCTTATCACAATATTCATATCACAACTGTGGTGCATCATATGACAAAGGCATGATGCCTGATTTATCCAAATCCATACTCAAAGATCATGAGAATAAAAACTCAGAATATGCACAGAATTCTGAAGAATAAACATTATGAGGACACATTTGAAGTCTTGACAGTCAATTTTTTGAGAGTCATCTTTTATGGGGCACAAATTAACCTACACGACTATATGAGATTTTTGATAGATTTTTCCCAATGTGAACTTATGCTACCATGTTATAACAATCAGATTCCCAAAACTTTTGGTAAAACAAAATATTAAACATGAAGTTTAATCAAGTCTTACATTTTATTAAAGTCATGCAGTCCACAATAATTTGAAGTAAACAGACTAAATTAATTAAAACATATACCCCATCTCACCTTTGAACTTAATTATTGTGTCAATGCAGACATGAGTGGCTCCTACACGTGGTAGCTTAAAGCAACAACAATGTTAGAAACAAAAATAGAAATGCAGAATTAAGCTTTTCCAACTGTTTTACCTTAAGGCTTGAATTTTCACCACATGTTATTAAAGCAAACATGTAAAAGTGTTATAAGACTAGCGAAAATTACACCGAATTGATTGAGGGAGTGAATTGAGAACTTTTAAAAGTGAAAATATTAGGACCAGAGTGGACTGTGGATAAGTATACAAACTTTTTAACATTTAAAAAATGATTCTGGCAAATCTGGCAAACCCCCCCCAAAAATGTCAAAATTTGCTTTGATTTCTGACCCCAGTAAAATGATAATGTGCGTAACGCCCTGAAGGAATCAAATCAGATCTAAGAAATCTAAGTGTGAGCTGCCAAAATGAACTAAGTCAGAATAACTTAATTTACTAAAGTTTGCTTGGAGAGTTTTATATACAACAGACATCCCTGATCAATCATTTTAACAGTCTAGAAAAACTGAGCTTCAAAAAAAAAAAAATCTGTAGAAAATTGCTTCCATATCAAATGATGCTTCATCACAAAATGTTTGAGGGAACATTTAGGCAGCTAATCATCATTGCTTCATCATCTATTTTGTAGAAGAGCTCTCCAATGTACTATTTCAGAAAGAGATCAAATGCTGATTTTTCCATGTTGACAAACAGATTGCTTGGCTTCTTGCAAATTCAGGTGAGCAGCTGTTTAGTTTCTCCGTTATTCAATTTTGTAAGGAATGCTTAAATGCACAATAGATACAAAACACTTTCAAACACTCAATATCACATTTGCATATGCTGCTTGATTTAAAGTTGCCAAAAAAAAAAAAAAAAAAAATTCTGCAATTCCTGAGATAAATCTGAGAACCAGATACCATATAATGAATA